CTTTACAATACATTTTGTTATGCTCCACATAATACTTTATATACATATATACATCATACTTTACAATACGTTTTATTATGCTCCACATAATACTTTATATACATAATACTTTACAATACATTTTATTATGCTCCACATAATACTTTGTATACATATATACATTATACTTTACAATACGTTTTATTATCCTCCACATAATACTTTATATACATAATACTTTACAATACATTTTATTATCCTCCACATAATACTTTATATACATATATACATCATACTTTACAATATGTTTTATTATGCTCCGCATACTTTATATACATATATACATCATACTTTACAATACATTTTATTATGCTCCACATAATACTTTATATACATATATACATATATACATAATACTTTACAATACATTTTATTATGCTCCACATAATACTTTATATACATAATACTTTACAATACATTTTATTATGCTCTACATAATACTTTATATACATAATACTTTCTAATACATTTTATATCTTTAATGGCATTTCTATTTAATTCAATTCGGCCTGTTGTAAATCCTTATTTCCATCCCTACTACATTGTCATTATACTCTCCATTCTTTAGTCCAATTCCTCCAAATCCGTTCTGATATATTGCTACAAAAATACCTCTCCGTGCGGCGTCTCTTTCTTTTTTCATTTCAACCGTGATCTCTACGTTTCCCTTTTTGTATCCAGTTGTCTTTTCTTACATTTGCTTATCGTCGACTCTTGCATTTTCGGCTTCCCCTCCCGTCTTTTTTTTAGTCTCCTATTTTTCTCTCCCATTTCTGAGATAGTCCAGGAGCGGCCAAGGTCGGAAGACCCCTCTCCTAAAACGACCGGTAGGGTCTCGATTGGTGCTTTTTTATTTTTCCCCCAAAAAAGGCAACTAGACGGACTCAACTTATTTTTTTGGAAGTTTCGGATGCGTTTTGGGGGGGGTTTGGGTGGGTGGGTAGGGAGCAACCCCTTTGGCGCCACCAGGACCTGGTTGAACCTGACGGGCCGCTCTTTCCTCTCGTTCGAAAATCCCCCGCTTTCCCTCCCCCCCCCAGGCCTGTCGGAAAATCTGGTTGGGGTCTTTCGACGCGCGGGCCTCCGTCCAGCCCGATTCTCGCGACCCTCAGAAAGTGAAGGAGTTCCTGCAGGAGAAATACGAGAAGAAGCGATGGTGAGGACCAAAGGGCGGGCGGCCGGGGTTGGGTGGGAGGAAGGGAGTCTATCCTAGATTTCCCCCTGTGGAATCGAAGCGCTCGGGGATCCGTTTCCCTCCGGGTTTGCAGCCGTCGACGTGCGGCGGCTCCCTCGGCGCAAAAACCGTTGGATGCCGGGATCCGTCGTAGGCCTTTCCTTGGCCAACCTGGCAGATCCATCCGTGAAGGCAGTTCCCTTCCTCGCCCTTCTCTTCATCTCGGAGACCAGGAAGAGGCGTCTCAAAGGTTGGGAAAAGAGGCGGGGGGAAATCCGCGGGGAGACAAAAACCAGACGAACAACGGTTGCGGGAATTCGGTCTCTCGGGTTCGAGAGGTAATCCCAGGATCGGAGGGGAGGGAAAAAGTTCCGCCTCTTCTCTAAATCCCCAAGAAGGCTGGACTAGAAGACCTTCCAGGGCCCTTCCAGCCTCCTCTCTCCTGATGGATTCGTTGTAAAATGGGGATTGTCCGATGACTGCCCCCGGTTCGCCACCGTTACAGTCTAGTGTACGATTTGAGCGGAAGAGGCTCCGTCGCACGTCGAGGACGACGACGTGGCGGCGTGGATCCACTGGAAGAAACCCACCCAGAGGGCCGAGGGGGAGGGGGAAGGGCTGGGAAGTCCTCCCCCCTCCCGTTCCCCAAGGCTCACCTGTCTCTCGATTTTTCTCCCAGGTACGTCTCGCCTGACCAAGCCAAAAGCCAGGCCGCTCCAAGTGCCCAGGCCTCCCCTGCAGAAGCCAAGATGGCCGCCAAGACCCCCCAGGTCAGAGCTCCTGGCTAAGGAGGGGGGCTCCACTGGGCCCTTCCACCCAAAACAGCTGGCATGCAAGGTCCCCCCCCTCCCAGGGGGGTGGAGGGGTGGGCCAGTTCCACCCAGCTTGGGTCGAAGGGAAGCTGACAAGACGACTCAAAGGCCGGCCCCTGCGTCCACTCGCGTCGGGGTTTGGACCCCCGTTCTTGGCTCCCGGCTGGCACTGCTCCTGACCCCCCACCCCCCCCGGCCTGGCACTTTGAGCCTTTTGTGGGAGGGAAGCAATTCACGGCCCCTCCTTACAAACCCACGTTAGTCCCCCAACCCTCTTTCTTTCTTTCAACGTCCGTGAATCGTAGTCGTTCGCAGCCCGTAACGAGCCGGAAACGGTTTGTAAAGAGTCGGCCAAAAGTCCTTCGGGAGAAGCCGGATCAGCACCCACCTTTATACCCAACTATCCATGGCCCCTTAGTGATCCCGAGGCCCCCGAAACGGAGCACCAAGCGAACGCGGAGCTTCCGGTTTCAAATCTCGATCCGAACGGACGAAAGTTGCTTCCCGCAAAGGCTCCTGTCCCTTCGCTCCTCCTTGATGCCTTTTATCGTCTCTTGAGTCGCCCCCCTTTGGTCTCCGCTGTTCTTGCCTCGCTCTGTGCGGGCGCGCCCTGGGAAACAGGCTCCCGCTGGGCCTCTTCCTCGCTGCTGTCGGATTCCGGAGCCGGCACATCCCTCACAGGTGTCCTCCCGGCCCCCATCTCGGCGTCGGACGCCGGATTCTCGTCCGAGTCCTTTCTCCCCCCCCCAGACTTTAGGACTGGCCCCATGTTCCTCCACACTGTCGGACTCTCCTCCCAGCGGACCGTAACCTCCTCCTCCTCCTCCCGCACGGACCTTGGCCGTGCCTCATTCCCCGATTTTCTTGCAGGTCTTGGAGAAAGCCCCGGCACCGCCCGCCCAGCCGGTCAAGAAGGCCAGCACCGACCTCCTGGCGGACATAGGGGGGGACCCCTTTGCGGCCCCACCCGCCAGGCCTGCTTTCTCTGCCTTTGGAGGTGAGTCCACCTGCCGGGGACTCAAAACGGGGGGGGGGCTCCCTCCTGCCTGGCCACGGGGAGGTTGTCCCCTTGGGGTAGCCGTCGGCAGAAGCCTTCCTTTCTTTTGAATGCCGATCGGGCTGTCGGGGAGGAAGACCTTGGCGGTCTCAAAAAGGGAAGGACGGGGATCCCTTGGCCCCCCCGAGAATCAGCCTGGGGCCGGCAGGGGGGGCCTGCAGGGCGGTGGCCCGAGCGCGTTGGCAAGTCAGGAACCATGGCCGCATCGGAGTCGCACCCAACCGTCCGGTCAGGCATCCAGCCAGCCTCCACGATATCCGTCTCGCCGAGACCTTATTTTCTCCCGTTGATTTATTGAGGCGCAGATCCGGCAGGTCTAAGGCCCTTTCCCAAAGTGAAAAGTATTTCCGCCCGTTCCGCAGAACCCACCTCCCTCCCACACTTCATCCCCCCCCCCCCCCCCCCAATTTGTGCCCTCAGGCCCAGTAGCGGCTCACCCGGCCTTCTCCAGCTTCGATGCCTTTGGGGCCGGCCCGGCAGTGTCGACATTCGGGGACCC